ACTGCCTCGGAAACCCAAGGAGGGGTCGCTATGAGTCGGGTTTGACTCGACGGCAAACAACAACAACAACAACAAATATAAGGAGAGAGACAGAAAAGGGAACCCCCAATAGGAAACTGAGAAGGAACAGTATGTAGGAGGAAAAGTGGCTAAAAATTATGTCATGGAAACAAGAAAAATGCCATTCCCAGAAGAACATTGGCAGCATATAAATTGGACATGAATAGATGGATGGGTAATACTGGGCATTATGCCATGTATGGGCAAAGTGAGGTGACTGAGAATGACAGATGCTGCTCTCACAGAACTTATACTCTGCTGGTGTAGGCACATCTTTAAATAGCAAATTAAATACTTTAAGAAGTATGACAGGTGGTTATTTGGAAAGACATATCAGGAACACATGGCATCTAATTGAGAACTTAAGAATGAGTAAGTGTTAGCTTGTGAAGAGGATGGAAACATTACAAATACTTGGAGAATTCTGTCTGCATACAGTTAACTGAAGACCATTTATTATGTATCCTAAGAGTGGTATAGAGGACCCAGCAAACCCACTGCCATGGAAGTGATTCTGACTCATAGCTATCCTTTAGGACAGAGTAGAACTGTCCTGTATAGTTTCCAAAGCTGTAAATGTTTATAGACGCAGACTTCCACATCTTTCTCCTGTTCACATCTTTCTCCTGCTGGGTTCTAACTGCTGACCTTTGTTAGAAGCTGAGCACTTAACTACTGGGCTACAAGGGCTTCTGGTATAGAGGACAGTGGTGAAATATTAAGTAGGGAAGATAGAAGGTGGCAGAGGAAAAAGGACTCAAACTAGTTTTAAAAGTATGAATTTGATTTTAACAGCAATAGAATTGCGTTATTGCTACCTGTTATTAGTTGCCATCAAGTCAATTCCAACTCATGGTGATCCCATGTGTGCAAAGTGAACTGTTCCATAGGGTTTTCAAGGCTATGGCTTTTCAGATTTGTGTTTCAGAAAGAAAGCATAAATTCTAGAAGTATTTAACAGATTGAATCAATAGGGTTAATTGATTAGAGAAATAGAGAAAGAAGAAATAAGGAAAGAATCCATCAGGGATGGATGTTCACATGTGCTTGACCAGCTGGGCTGTGTGGACAGTGGTATCCTTCCCTCAGAGAGGGGACAAAAGTGGGATGAGTCCAGTTTTGGACATGTGGAGTTTGACAGTGTCTTTAAAGCACTCAGATTGTGATGTCAGCAGTCAGTTGGATATATAAGTTTAGACCTCAGATGGAATCTGCATTACAGATGCAGATTTGTAGGTATTTGTATTTATGGTCATTGAAACAGTGGAAGTGGATGTGGGTAGTGTCTAGGCTAGAGATCATTAAACATTGTGGCAATCTGTGTAGCTGTGCCATTTTCTTCTGTACCATTTAGAATCCGTAGGATAGGACATAGTATATGACAAAGTAAACCACAGGATTCACCCAGAGCAAGAGTTTTGCCAAATAGGAAGGAGAAAGGTGCAGTGCAATTGAGAGTATTGGCGAAGGAGTGGTTGAAATTATTGATCATATAATCTAAGCTGGGTTGTTGTTGTTGTTATTTGCCGTCGAGTCGGCCCCAACTCATAGCGACCCCTCCTTGGGTTTCCGAGGCAATATCACTACGGAAGTAGGATTGCCCAACCTTCTTTCCGAGGAGTGGCTGGTGGGTTTGAACCGACAGCCTTCTGGTTAGCAGTCAAGTGCCTTAGGCACTATGCTACAGAGGAGTCAATTAAAAAAAAAAGTGTGCATCTAGGTAAGGAGAAATTAGATGAAAGCACTTGAGATTCAATCTGACAAATTGAGAATGGGGAATAATTAAATGAGAGATCTAGAAAGATAGAAGGATGGGGGAATTGTCAGAGAAAGGCCTCAAATTATATATTCGTAAGAGGAATGTTGTTGGTGATGACAAAGGATATGATGTAGCCTCTGATGGAGAAAAGGATGAGCAGATGAAGGAACTGAGTATTCAGGATGTTAGACTGATTATGGATACTCATGGATCTTGAATTCACACAGGATAAATGTAAATGTAGGAACCAGATTGTTCAATCAGCAGAGGAAGTGTGACAGGGAGTTCACATGATGGTAAGAGAGAAGTAAATTAGTGGTATGAGTCTTAAAGGTATAGAAGCTTTTCCATGGGTGTGGTTGAACAATTACTGGCAGCTGTACCAGGGTGTAAGGAGAATTCTCCCACCTCTCAACTACCAGTATCTTGGAAGAATAAGCATCTACCCCGTGGATAATATTGCAAACAAGGACATGTCCTCAGGAGAGACTTAGGCCAGCTCTAGCCTCTTTGGGAGAAGAATGGATAGTCAAGATTCACTTTGAATGTTCCAAAGAAAAGCTGGAGGCCACTGGAAAGAGACTGTGCAAAATAGAGGAGCTAACATTCCTGTTCCTTATGTTAAATCTCTTGCCCCTTCTCTACTATAAACTATATGCCTGTTAATTTCCAGTCTTTCTCATCATCTGAAATATCAAGTCTGTCTAGGCATCAGTGGCTGGGTTAATTTTAAACTTGATGCCTTAGTCATTTGATGTAAAGTTATGAAATGTCTGTATTAGGTTCTTCTGTGTTACTTTGCTATTCTAAATTTTTTGAGGATTAAATTTCTAACTGTAAACATGAAAAGTCTGCCAATATGTGTTTACTGTACATCTTATAGTTGATTTTTAAAATGATATGTACACCTCATGTACTAATTCTTTCCTTGTGTCATTTGAGCATAAGCCTTTTCTCTTCCATATAACATGTTAAGGAAAGCATATATGAAATAAGGGTAAAAATAATTTCTATTTTTTTCTTTCAGTACCACCAAATATTTATGGTTCTGATGAACTTGCTCAATTTACAGTTATTGAAGGGAACCTCATTAGTCTGTTGTGTGAATCTAGTGGCATTCCACCCCCAAATCTCATTTGGAAGAAGAAAGGTCAGTTTCTGTCCTTTGAGATTTATAAAATAAAATATAAACAAGAAATAAATTTGCATTTTCTTTGACAAACATGCCAATGTATTAGGAAACTTTTCCAGACATTGCCTGCTAAAATATTATATGGCTTTTTATTAATTGATTTATGATTTCTTTATCTTAAATGTACAATGTGTGCTACTTACATGCTATCCAGCTAAACTCTTCATCTTTCAGAGTTTGAACTGCTCTCCAAGAGACATTAATTTTCTGCATTAATTGATGGTTTTTCAATTACATGCCTTGTTGGGCAGCTATCTACTACTCAAAAAACCAAAATTTTCTTCTTTAAATAGATTAAAAATAATAATTTTCCAAAGCAAACATTTTTGCTCTATTTAACAGATTTGAAGTGTATTTTAAGATTAGGATCTTCAGTTGAATATATTTTTAATTTATTCATAAAAAAATTATTTGTATGCACTAATGCTGGTGGTGCAGTGTCTAAGGCATGTGACTGCCATCCAGAAGGCTGACAGTTCAAACCCACCAGCCACTCATCGGAAGAAAAATTGGGAAACCTACTTCCGTAGTGATACTGCCTCAGAAACCCATGGAGGGGTCACTATGAGTTGGATTCGGCTTGATGGCAGTGAATTTGGTTTTTTGGTATGCACTAAAGATCAGACAGATTGTATAGATCCTTAGATGATTCTAAAAATCATTTTTCTTTTACTACTTTAAGATTTTATTTTGTTTTCTGAGCATGTTTTATTTAAAATATAATAGTGATCAAAAGAAAAATTGCAGAAGTAAACTGTGGTAAACATTTCTTTCTCCTCTCCTCCTTCTCTTTCTCCATCCTCCCTGCCCCCTCTTTTTTTTTTTTGCTTGCATGATGGGGTGGAATTATTTTACAGTGTCTCTGCCATTTAGGTGCTTGAACTAAGAACAAATAAATAATATAATACTTAGAACAAGTATACAAAATGCTTTATATTTTTGCCTCATATTCTGCTGTTTGGTTTTCTTCGCAGGTTCTCCAGTCTTGGCTGACTCTGTGGGGAGGGTCAGAATTTTGTCTGGAGGCAGGCAGTTGCAGATTTCAATTGCTGAGAAATCTGATTCTGGACTCTATACATGTATAGCATCAAATGTTGCTGGAACCACAAAAAAAGACTATAATCTGCAGGTTTACAGTAAGTTACTGATTAACGAGACTTTGATAAAATTTTATTATAAAATTTTCCATCCTTGCTTTTTACTTTCATTTTTCATATCTTTACCATTCATCCAAAGTAGTATGGTTATAACAACTATCACTTGAACCACACATTATTTAAATTGTGCTGGCCAGTGAGCAATTATTTATTGACGACTGTTATTTGTTCAGCAATACAGTTGTGTCAGCCTGCCAATGGCAGATACATCAATATGGCCATAATGTTTTTGGGGAAGGATAATGGACAAGTATGGGGTGAGGAAGGAGGGAGAGTGGTGATGTAGCATTGGTAAATTTACAATGTGCAAAAATATCTAAATTTAAAGAATGTTTAATTGTATAATATTTCAGAGTATTTAGAATATTTGCATTATTTCATTTAATTGTTACATAAGACACAAAACTATTACCTCCATTTTGCATATGTGAAAACTTAAGCCCAGGGAGATTCCCATGGCTGACTAAGTTCACATGGTTTGTACGTAGTATAATCACTAGTACATGCATGGCATTGCTGACATTAGCCCACTGATCCTTCCACTGCAACACATCTGTATTAAAGCTGGTCTAATTTGCTTGTTTAACAAACCAAACCAAACCTACTGCCATCAAATTGATTCCAACACATAGTGACCCTATATGACAAAGTAGAACTGCACCATAGGGTTTCCAAGGCTGTAAATCTTTATAGGAACAAACTGCCTCATCTTTCTTGTATGGGGCAGCTGGTGGGTTCAAACCAGTGACCCTTGGTTGTCAGCCTTATGCTTTAACCAGTGGACCACCAGAGCTTCTTTTCTTGTATTATAGTCTGTATCAGTTAGGTGGATTCAAGTGCAAAGTAATAGAATAACTGATGATCAGTGACAAACAAGTAGAGATTTATTTTCTCACACGTGAGAAGTGCAGGGTTGGCAGTCAGTCATTGGAGTTGGTCAGCAATTTGATCATATCACGACAGTTTACTTCTGCAATTTGCCTGTCCTTCAATACAGTCACGGTAGCTGTGGTATAGAGTTCACAGTGAAGACCACGAGAAGGGGAAAGGGTGGTATTTTTCTCTTTTACCATGGAAACAAGAACTTTCTCAGAATCTCTTTGGCAGACCTCTGTTTAGATTTTATTTACCTGAATTAATTCACAGTCATCCCAATTTTCAAAGAAAACTGAAAAAACAAAATGAAACCCATTGCCATCAAATCAATTCTGACGCATAGAGACCCTATAGGGCAGAGCAGACTACCCAAAGGGTTTCAAAGACTCTGGTAGCATAGTGCCTAAGGCACTTGACTGCTAACCAGAAGGAAGAAGATGGGGAAGGAAGGAAGGAAGATGGGGCAATCTACTTCCATAGTGATACTGCCTCGGAAACCCAAGGAGGGGTCTCTATGAGTCGGGTCCAACTCGAAGGCACATAACAACAACAACAACAAATTTTTACAGAAAAAAACTGCCTCATCTTTCTCCAACAGGGCAGATGGTGGGTTCAAACTGCTGACCTTTTTGGTTAGCAGAGCAATCTTTTAACCACTGTGCTACCAGTGAGTATTAAGTATTTAGCTTTCCCAACTTTTTCACTGAAGGAAGAAGAAAATTAAAATGGACATTGAATCAGTCAGTTAGCAATGACTGTTAAATAAAAATACCACCCTTTCCCCTTCTTGTGGTCTTCACTGTGAACTCTATACCACAGCTACATTTTAATGCCAAAATATTAACTACAAAAGAAGAGACCCAGGAGTACAAACATAGCATTACTATATTGGTAGGTGGAATCCTTATTCTTCAATATAAATTAGCCGGTTTGTACCTAAAATAAAGTTATCAATACAGTACTGAAAGAATGTTACATTTCCTTCCTTCCTTGATTTTGAGAAGTTATATACAAACATTTGAACTTATCATTTGTGGTTCTGATTTAAAGAAGTCTCCCTAGTAATAATTTAAAATAGATAGAATTTAAAATTAGATTTTAGATTAGAAATAGTTACTGTTAACATTAACATTAATGTAAGCCACAAATGTAATTTTCAACTTTAGATTTTTTAAAAAAAAAAGCACATTAAAAAAGTAATGGAAACAGATGAAATTAATTTAGTAATATGTTTTATTTAACCTGATACATCAAAAATGTACCATTTCAAAATGTAATAAATTTTAAGCTATTAATGACATATTTACTTTTTTTTTTAATAGCCTTTGCAATCCAGTGTGTATTTCACACTGGCAGCACATCTCAATTTGGACTAGCCACATTTCAAGTGCTCAATAGCAGCTACTGTATTGGACAGTGTGCAATAATGTTAAATCTCTTGCCCCTTCTCTACTGTAAACTATATGTCTGTTAATTTCCAGTCTTTCTCATCATCTGAAATATCAAGTCTGTCTAGGCATCAGTGGCTGGGTTAATTTTAAACTTGATGCCTTAGTCATTTG